AAAATTTGCCTAGATAGTACAAAATTGGATAATTTGATTAGTTAATTTATGTAAATCTATAAGTTAATTTTATTATATAATTTTATAGCCTAATGTTTAAAAACTCATATCTTGATAAATTTTATCCAATTTTAATAATTTTACTATTATTAGAATCAGAAAATTTATTTATTTAATATATTTTTTCAAAAAATTAAATATAACAAAAGTAATAAAAATTTACAACTAATTATATATAAAAATAATTAATATTGTACTCTACTCTTAATAAAAAAAATAAGTTGTTAAATTCTAAATAATAAGTCTAATATTCAAATTTTATAAATAATAAAATTTAAAAATTATATTTATATTATAATAACTATTTATTACTAATTGTTTAAATTTATATATTTGTAATTTTAGATATACTAAATTAAATCTTATTTAATATTAAAAAATTTAAAATATTTATATAAAATATAATATTAAATATATATAAAAGAATATTAAAATAGAGGTGTAATAACTTAGTAAAGTGAATAAGTTGTTAACTTTCCAAGTAATAAGTTAGATGTTTAAATCTTATTTATAACAAAAAATTTAGATAATTATTTATATAATACTTATATATCAACTTTTTCAATAATTAGATTAAAATATCTGTAATAACAGTTGCATTAGTATGATTAACAGATTATAAGGCATCTGTGTAAGTATAACATTACACAAAAGAATGCAAATCAGTATTAGGTAATATAAACTTTAGATAAATTCTTATAACTGTATAAATTTAAATAATCATCTATATAATACTTATATTATGACAATTGTTTTTAATAATTAAATTAAAATATTTATAATGGCAGTTACATTAGCATGACTGACAGATTATAAAGCACCTATATAAGTATAGTATTATATAAAATAATACAAATTAGTATTAGATAAGATAAATTTTAAAAAAGTTCTTGTAACTATATAAATTTATTAAAATTAAGAAACAAAAAATTTATTTAAAAAGATTTGAATAAAGAAGTAATACAAATTTTGATAACATTATTGTAAAGACTAATCTTATAAAACAAATACCAAGATCAAAATATTTAGATAAACAAAAACTTTTGAATTAAGAATTTTAAAATACTATCAACTAGAATGTTGAAATGAATTAGAAAAAAAATTATCAAGATAATTTAATATATCAATAAGCTAATTATAATCCTATCAGATTATCTAAATTAAGAATCTAGAGAATAAACAAAGATATACTAAAATATTTTAAATATGTTATAAAATAAATTTTAAAATTCAAATAAACTCTATAAGAATATAACAGTTTAATGATTAACTTTAATCACAAGTATTAGTTTTGTTATAACAATATCAAATCAACTGTAAAAATATATACAGAAAATTCTAAAAAGTTTATTTTAAAGATAAAATAATCTTAAGTTAAAACAATAATCTGAACATAACTTAATAATGTTAATATAAATATAGGTTCAAAGAATTTAAAATAAAATATTCAAGCAAAAATGTTAGATATAACAATTGATAAGAAACTTTTAAGCAAACTTCTTAAATAAATAATATAAAAAAATTATATATATAATTAATTCAGTATTGACTAGACCAGACCAGTTTAACTATTTGATCAGACCAATTTGACCAATGACCAGTCTGGTTAAAGTATTGTAATACTGGTCAGATTGGTTAAACAATATAGTTATACAGACCAATTTGACCAATTTGACTGATTTGATTATGGTCAAATTGGTTAAATTGGTTTGTTTGTATAACCAATTCAAAGGTCACATTATCCAATGACTACTAGTTATGAAATATATGTACATATGTATGTACATAGATACATCGATTCTCTAATATGCAATATCAGGGTTTAATGGTTTTAACAAAAGCTATGAAGACAAAAATACAATAATTAATATTATTTGAGTAGTTTATGACCAATAAGAGAATTAAAGTTAACCTTTACACAATAATATTTTCAAAATTGGAACTTTAGATGGCTTAATTTTTATATTTAATAATTAAACGCATTTTATATGATACTAATTCACTACGAACTTTTCTATTGCTGTAGCTATATTTATAAGTTATTTCTACTGGTTCTACTGTATCTATTATTTCTACCAGATCTACTATATCTGGTAGATATGTTGAAGCTAGTAAATCTGTCAAATTTAGCTGATTTTTATCTCGATAGATGATCTACCCTCTACTTGCATGTGTATGCATAAATACAAATCAATACTCTGATTTTATTATAGTTTACTTTTAATGCTTATTACTTGTATTTCTTAACTAGATTAATAGAATTTTCTAAGACACTACTATTTTAGAAATATTATAAGAGATTATTTTAAAGATACTATCATTTATAGTGAACTGGCAATTCTTTTATTGTAATAAATTTAGCTAACAAAATAATATAATTTAAAATTTATACTATAATAAAAAAAAAACTAGATTCTAATTGTTAGTAATCACAGAAGTATTTTCAACATGTTGCTGAAGAGTACAAACAAATGTTGGTTGTAATAAAGTATGTATAAAGAAATATTAAAGTTCAATCTTGAATCTTTGTGCTTAGCTGGATAGTACTTATGCATATTAGAAGAGACTGTGTTTAATTCTTTAAGTTTCTTGCTTTTTTTAAGTTCCTCACTTTTTTCAAGTTCTTCACTTTCTTCATTAACTTATTCTCTAGTAATAGTTTTATCACTTAATATTTTATATTTATTATTGGCATTATTATTACTATTACAGTTATCATAAACATTATTACTATCATAATCATTATTACTAGGTATTTTATCTCTACCAACTATTGAATTAAATGTACTTGGGTCATTTGTTTTACTATTGCTTGAATGAATAATATGATTTGTAGCAATACTTTGGTGAACTTTTTCAGTATTGTTTAAATGTTCTTTTCAAGCCATTTCAGCTGCGATTTGGGTTATTCTAAAAATTGTTAGTAGCTGTAACAAGCTAAGTTATTTAGTATAAATTTGCAGAGTTTTTTTTTTTTTTTTGTTATACAAGTAAATACAGTATTTTTTTTATTTAATAGAATTTAAGTATATAGTTATTAATTATCTTGAGATGGCTGTGTCTTTGATTTTGAAACCATCCTATTCTAGAAAAAAGGCACTCACAGAATGCAGAATTAACTTTAATACTAAACAAATGAAGTGCAACTTTATCAATTTCTTTTTGATCGATTGCTGCAAACTCCTAGTATCACAATAACATGAGCTCAGTTGCATTATTAATTGTCATATTTTCTTTAGAGATGGCTTCAAAAGTATTTTCAAATCTTTTGTCACTAAATATACCATGTTTCATATAATATTCAGTTAGTTCTAATGCAACATGTTTTGGTTTTATATTAAATCATACTTCATAATAATATTCAATCCACTGTGTTATTCTTTTAAAAGAAAGAAAATTAGTATTAGATAGAGCTTAAAGATGATATTGTAGGTAAAATATAACTGCTAGCAAAAGAAGAGGTTGTTACCAGTCTGCACATCTTTTTTCAAGTTTTTGCATTATCATAAAACTAAATTTATTAGCTTCATCTTTATATTGCTATGCTATATATCCAAATGCATATATAACATCAAAAAGGTTGGACACATCATGCTGAAGATAATTCAAAATACTGACAAAAGACAAAAGATGTTTTATTAATTCGTCAAGATATGTCCAAAATTAAGAATTGTTAATAGCAGTTTTGAATTTATCTGTAACTTGAAAGAGTTTTGATATAGAATCAAATAAGACTGTATAACATGTTTACTTCTTAAAAGCATTGCAAAGCAATAATAATATGAATTCCAACAGGTGGTTACTAGAAGTATAAAGCTATATATAGTTTTATAAATCCTTTGTTGTTCATCATGAAGAAATGATATTGCCTTTGAATATTGTTAATCTGTAAAATATGATACAATTCCAATGGCATCCTTTACTATTTGCTTATATCTAGATGAAAGTTTGAAAATATTACTGATATATAAGTTGGACTAATATGCAAAGCATAGAAGAAATACAATGTTATACTTTTGTAATTATATTTTACATCTGGTAAATAAATGTTTATATATTACTTATTATGATATAAGACTAATTTTAATTGGCTTGATGCTAGAAAAGGAGACTAAGTTAGCAAAAAAAAATTCTTTACAAAAAAATTATTTCGTGAACTATTAATTAAAATTATATAACTTTATAAATAATTAATTTTTTGTAAAAAATTTTTTTTTGTTAATTTGGTCTTTTTTCTAGTACCAAGCATAAAAAAAAATTTTTTTTTAATAATCTACACATACTAGGTAGAAGCATATGCTGATACACTATCAGTAACTATGGCCACTACATTAAGATTCTGGTTACTAGCATGCTCAAAAAAGGTATGAATTGTATTTAATACATTGAGAGTTTTTTGACTTTGATTGCTAATATTTTCAGCACTCCATATGTATAGCTGATTTGTTGCAGAAAGAATAACAGCATCTAAAATTTCCTGGTAGCACATATTTTTCCAACCATCAAACATAATAGTAACTAGTTCTTGTAACTCAAAGAGAGTAAAAACCTTAGTTTGTTTTAATTTTTCCATATACTCAACAAGAATTTTAGTACTTATTGTTCTGCAAGTTGAAATTTTAATAGTTAAGTTAAAAAAATCAACAAATTCATAAAGTGTACTACTTTTAGTAAAATAAAAGGAAAGCCTATTCTGAACTATTAGATGTAGAAGACAGTAATTAAATTTATGCTATTGATTAGTTGATAATGAATAAGCAATATAAGTTTCAAGTATATAATTTATTTATTTTTTTTTAAGATTTATATAAGATGAGTTTGAAGAAGCTTCTAACATTCATGTATTATTGCTTGTGGCATTGGAATTGAATGAGACAATGGACATGACTGTATTGTTTCTCTCTCTTGCTTGTTGTAATGCTTTTACAGCATTATGTGCCATATTTTTATCAGCATCTTTATATATCATAACTTCTTGGTTCTTATCAATTCAATACTCTTACCAATATTAATAACACTTCAAATGTCATTGCACATGATCCCATTTATTAAAAAACCCTATTTATTATATACTTCCCATAATTCAAGTCCTTCACTTCTTTTATTTTCAAATATATGTTCATTGTGTTCACAGGCTTTACAGATAGTTTGTTTAGCTGTTTGATTTGGGCCTAATTTATCTTAAACATGCACATATTTTGTTAATCGATGAGAATGGTTTTGAGACATTTTAATTTTAATACTAATAATTTATTTTTATTTTTATTTTTTTAGAAAATAGGATTGAGACATTTTAATGCTTTAATATTTATATAATTTTACTGATATGATTAATTTGATATTAAATTTTCTGATTAGTTCACATAATACTGGTTTAATTCAAAAGTCAATCTTTATTACATTAACAGTGAGTTTTAAATGCTTTCATATGAAAATAAGTCAATGTGATTTACAGCTTATTTGTAAACAAAAAAAATAGTTTATTGTTATTTTGAATTAGTACAGTTATAGAATTTTATAGTCTTGTGAATTTTAATATTATCTTTATTATTACAATAATAACATATGAAATTCATAAACTTATAAAATTCTATATCACTAATCTAATTAGAAATAGTCTGCATACTTTACATTAAACCAGCATCTAAAAGTAATATATAATGTGAAGCTTATTTCTAGAATTTGTTTACAAAAGCTTAAGCTAAATTCGCAAAATATTTTAATAAATAATAAGCATGGTTTTTGTAATAAATTCTGGCAGATATAGCCTATTGTATTAAAATGTTTTTATTTAAAGTATTATTTAATTTCAATTATAGAATATACAAAAGTTATCGATTACTATAATTACAGCCAATTTTTTAATAGACTATTTACAAGAATGTGAATTTGTCTTTACATATTGATCAGAAGTAAAATAAAAATTTACATTAAATAATTTTAGACTTATTTTGCAAATAAATTAAATAATCAATAAGAGTAATTTAATCTGTATATACCGTACAGATGCTTGTAGACATTATTATAAAAGTCAAAATTTGTTCAAATCTTAAAATTAACTTCTATTTTGAAATAATGCACATGGGTGTACATGAAATAATATGCAGGAAAATATGTGACAGATCATAATGAAATCAGATTAAAATAAAATATCTGAATAATAAAAATTTTTAGCCATATTCTTAGAGTTAAGTATTAAGGTTAGAGGTTAGTTTTAGAATAGAGTTTATATTAAACAAGTTTTATAGGTTGAATAGAAATTTACATTTAATTTTAATCTGATTTCATTATAATCTGTGATATTTAATAATCAAAAATAGTTTTATTAGAATGTAACAGTAATATTCTTAATTAATAGCCAGCTTAGAAGTATCTTAATAAATTGAGGGTTTATTAAAACCAGGTGTATTATTCAATTTTAAATATTTAATTAAAATAGAATTAAAGTAAATTCGTTTTAGTATATTTTATTAGTGTTCAAAATTTTGTCTATTTCTTGTATATTTCTTGTTTTTTACTTTTTAGTAGCATTAATTTCTAATTGATTATCAATTGTTTCAAGTTGATCAATTTGACCAATTTGAATTAGTCTGATTAGCCTAATTGGTTCATGTAACCAATCATTTGACCAATTTGACTATAGTTAAATTGGTCAAATTGGTCAAATTGGTCTGTGTAACTAAATTGTTTAACCAATTTAACTATGATCAAATTGGTCAAATTGGTCAAATTAGTCTGTGTATCTAAATTATTTGACTAATTTGACTGACCAACCAGACCAGAGACTAATTGACCAATAACTAGCAAAATCTATAGTTGACTACAAGTTTTAACAATACTGAATTAATTGTACATTCTTTTTGTAATAGTTTATAGAATTATATTATCAAAAAAATTATTAATTAAAATCAAAAAACTAAAAAAGTTATTTTAACATTAAAAAAAAAAGATATTAAAATTAATATTATATAAAACTTTAATATAAATTTATAATAAAACTACTAAATATAAAAAACTAAAAAATCAAAAGATAGAAATCAACTTGAAAATTTTGAATAAAAAAATAACAAACTTTTAATAATAATATTAAACCAATGAATACTTATAAAATATCTTAAAGAAATAAGTAATAAACCAAATAAAAAATATGTAAAAAAAGATATATACTAACCAGATTACTAAAATTATCAGAAATCATAAATGTCAAATCAATTATAAATATAAAATACAGAAAACTTTAATGAGTTTAATACAAAATCAAAGATTCCTTATATGAATGAATTGTTTTAAAAACTTTGTAACTATAACATATTTACATTAGTATGAACTAAATAATTAGAAGTGTAATAACTTAGTAAAATGGATAGGTTGTCAACCTTCAAGTGGCAGATCTAGAATTTAAATTTCAATAACAGTAAAAATTTGCAATTCTTTCTGTATTACAGTTAACTATCTTCTGTAATTAGTTGAGATAAATTATCTGTAACCCATATTATACTAGCATAACTGAAAGATCTAAACACTTATACAACATTATATGAAAGAACATAAATTAGTACTAGGTAATATGAATCTAAAATAAATTCTTAAATTGTGTAAATCACAAAAACCAAATAAAAAAACAGAAGCCTACTTGGAAGACCCAAGTAGAGAAATAACCTAAACTTTTAACAATGTTACTATTAAGACTAGACTTATAAAATAGTACTAAAACTTGTAAAACTAAACAAATATGTTAGTCTTTGAGAAAAAACCAGATAAACCAATCAGACTGTTAGAATTTTCAGGTTTCAAAAGAAAAAAGTACATGTTAACAAATATGTAAATTAAAGATACATAATTTTAACTTATTTTTCTAAGTTATCTGGAATGACAACTTAACAAAACTTAAATTAAATACCAAAATAGTAAGAATATGTTGTAAAATCAATATCAAGGTTAAAGTGAATTCTGCAAGAGCATAATAATTTAATAATACACCCTAATCATCAGTATTGGTCTCAACTATAACAATACTAAATCAACTATAAAAATAAAATACAAATAATTTTAAAAAATTTAATACAAAATTAAAGATTTCAAAAAACTGTTTTAAAGACTTAATGATTATGATATATTTTTATTAGCATCAGCTAAAATCATTGATAAACAAAGATAGATAAGTAAATATGAAAACTAAAATGGTTAAATAAAGAACCTACAAACAGATTCCAGGTATAACAGCTAATGTAAAATCTTTGAACAAACTACTTAAATTAAACAATAACTAAAATTATATAAGTAATTAGTTGTACACTTTTTTTATAATTGCTCTCTGTAGTTGTAATACAACCATTAACCAAATATACTATCAATAAAATCCTGAATTGCAAATACTCACCTTAATATTAAAAAAAAAAAAAAAACTAAACAATTAGTAACATAAATAGATAATAAATACAAAAATTAAAATATTTAAATAAAAAACTCACAAATAGATTCTAAGTATAACAACTAGTGTAAAACCTTTGAGTAGACTACTTAAATTAAACAATAACTAAAATTGTATGAATAACTAGTTGTACACTCTTTTCATGATTACCTTTGTAATTGTTATACAAACAAATATTAGTTAAAACATACTATTAATAAAATCCTAAATCGCAAGTACTCACCTTAACATTAAAAAAAAAAAAATTAGATCCAACAAATTTCTGATCCCTGCGTACACCCTACCCTTAATAAATTAAATAATATATTCTATTAATTTTTTTATTTAATTTTCCAGAAAAATTGGCTAAACTAAGTTTAAGAAATATGAAGCTTTATTTATATTTGTATGTGTATACATGTGTAAAATCAAACATAAAATACAAGCATGGTTTATGGAATTTCTGGATTATAGTTTATAGTTCAAAATATTGTTGGCATATGTAATTTTTGGAGATAATAAGACTAAGCTGGTCTATTAGTATCAAAAGTATATAATCAACTATAATAATTACCTCCAAATACGATCTGAAACCTTGGCAACATCAACCATTTCCTTTACGTCGTGGACTCTTAATACATCAGCTCCTCCTGCAATTGAGGCTGAACATGCTGCAGCGCTACCCCATCCGCGTTTCTTTGCATCCGGTTGCTTCGTTGCCTCGCCAATAAATCCTTTACGAGATGGTCCCACAAGACAAGGAAATCCTTCAAATGGGCTGTTCTCTCCTGTAAGTTCATGTAATCGCTTAAGTATTTGAAAATTTTGTTGGTAATCTTTCGCAAAACCTATACCAGGATCGATAATGATATTCCATCGTTTGACACCAGCTTCGATGGCTCGTTCAACTCGCTCAAAAAGTTCAGAACATATATCTGTTATGATATCTTCATATTGAGTGAGCTTTAACATAGTTTTAGAGTTCCCTCGCATATGTTGAAGACATATTGGAACATTAGTTTTTGCCATGATACGATACATATCTGGATCCAAATGACCACCGGAAACATCATTGATTAAATTGGCTCCTGCTGCTATCGCTTTCTCTGCAACTGCTGCTCGATAAGTGTCAATAGAGATAGGTATATCTGTCATTCCTTTTGAACGAATCGCTTGTATGACAGGAATAACACGCGCAAGTTCCTCTTCAACGGGAATTTCATCGGCATTTGGTTTCGTAGACATTCCACCAATGTCAAGAATGTCGGCACCCTCAGCTATTAATTTTTCCGCATGAGAAACTGCACTCTCTACCGAATAGAATTGTCCTCCGTCACTAAAACTATCAGGTGTCACATTGATAACACCCATTATATATGTCTTTGAAGTCCAAATCCATTTCGAATTTTGAATCGGCAAGACTTTACGAACAATGTTGTTTTTATCATAATTAAGCGACTTTAGATGTTGAGAAAGCAATTGTTCACATGTTTTATAAAGCTTTGGATGCTCAAACCTTTTTGCGATGCTAAAAAAAAATTCGTGAAACGATAGATTCTAAAATATATCAACACAAATAGATACAATTATTACTTACTCACACAAAGGTCTTAGCACAAATTCTCGCTCACACATCGATGGATGTGGTATTACCAAAGTATTTGTTGAGCAGTCAATATCATCATAAAACAGAATATCCAAATCAATTGTTCTTGGTCCATTCCTGACAGTGTTCTCTCGGGATCGTCCCAGATTTAATTCAACAGTCCAGAGTTCTTTAATCAACTCGTCAGGCTTCAAATTTGTGGCAATCTTTATAGATAATTCAATTTACATGAGCTTTATATCTTTGTTCATAAATTGAAAATATTTAATCTTACCTTACATGCGGCATTCAAGAAATTAGGTTGATCTGTTACATACATCGGCGAAGTTTCATATAAAAATGATGTATCCAATACTTTACATTTACATATAGTTTCTAACTGTTGTAAAGCTTCATTGATGTTTTTAATACAATCGCCCATATTAGATCCCAGCCCAATAAAAGCAAAATGATTATATCCTTTTGGGAGTGCTGTCTTTATTGCTTCAGCTCGTTCAGGAATTGTTGAACGCGTATTTCCAAAACCTTTTCCGTTTAAAGGATTTAAATGAGGTTGTGAAATATGCCTGATCTCATCTGCAAGATATGACTGACTTCTAGTAATCTCGATTCCAGCAGATTCGGCAAAGACCAGAGCACTTGGTTTCTCCACTCGAATTGTAACCTTGTTAACTTGACATTGTGTTATTGCTATTTTTGCGGCTGTTGTAGCGAATGCTTCTACAGTTTGATAAGTTGATTCTTCGACATACTGTTTCGACACAGTGATATAAATATTATAATATTGAATCTTTTAAAATGTATGTACAACCGAGAATTAAATACGTACCTTAGAAATAGTTCTTACAATAGTACGATAATTATGCGGCTTGGGGACGTTACCTTCTTGTGACGAACTAATATTAAAATCGGAATATATTGTTATATTCAATATCACTGTTTGCTTTTCTTCACGCTCCCATGGATTGACACCGATAATCGCACTTAATCTCAAATCTTTAACAAATATTACATCTTGACGGTTATTATTATAAATAGGAAGTGTATTTGAATTTGAATCATTTTGACTATAGTCTTCTCTAGTGCGTATTATTTCGACACCTGCAGAAGCAGCGTGCAGCAAAGCGCGAGGCTTTTCTACACGAACGGCAACTCGAGGTACATGACATTCGTTCACACAAATTTTAGCTATTCCTTCTGCTAAAGCTTCGATGGAATCACTGATAGAGTCCTCGGCAAATTTGGAGACTGCTTTGGAAACTATTCCGTAATTAATGGAGTATGAAAGTTTATCCTTTTCCCCAGCTTCAGAAATGTTTTTATGGAGAATTAAATTTATTAAAACGGGTTGACGTTTCACACGCTCCCAAGAGTCAACTCCTGTAACATTTCGTACGAGAAGATTTTTTATAATAATCTTGTCGTAGAATTCTTCTTCCATTGTTACAATCTGGTTAACTGAAAATAGTGTAACGGTACCTTTTTTTTGATAATCAGTAACACTCCAGGATCAGGGACGATGATTTGCTGTGTTTCACGGAACACCGCAGAATTTTTCTTAAACACAGCTAACCACAGAAAATACAGGTTTATTGCGAAATTATAATCTGTGCTCGGTTTGCGGGGCTTTACTTATTTGTGCCGGTAATACAAACTCCTAAAAAGGAAATAGCCAATCAGTGAATTCAAATTTTGATCGTTCCGGATCAGCCCGACATGAATTCCGAATGCGTGTAAAAGAAGAAAAAGCGAAAAAAACTCAAAAACTAGTGTTTAAACCAGCCTTGGTGTACTAATTAAAAATGTCAGAAACGAAATTTTACATATAATGGACGATAGTCTATCGCTATAGCCTCTAATGTTAACGTTCCAACCCTAAATACGTGTTTTATGCATTTTGTTTATTTATAAAATCAAATTTCCTTTTTTGGATTGTATTACCGGCACAAATAAGTAGTTTGACTACTTTGGTTTTTACAATACAATTTATATGTAACCAACCTAGTCAAACTAGCTGGTTACATATAAATTGTACTGTAAAAACTAAAATAGTCAGACTACTTAACATTTCTATTTTAAATAAAATTTTTTTTAAGCAATTGCTTTTATGTTTTTTTTTTTCTAATAAAGATATATATTTTTACTGTACTTTTCTAAAAATAAAAAAAAAAATAAAAAAGTTTTTTTTGTTTTTTTTTTTAGTATTAAGGTGACTTCTGGGTCTGAGCTTTTTATTAATACTTATAGCAGATACATGTTTATATAGACGTATCTATAATGAACTATTAGACGAGTATACAACTGGTTACATGTGTAACTTTTCTATATTACCTATTTAAGAAGTTCACTCAAGGGTTCTCTACCAGTTGCTGTACCTAACACTTCTGCTTAGATGTTCCATTTAAACCCTTTGATCTAATCCTAGTATTAATTTCATCAGATCATAAACCCAGATCTATTTATTATTAACCATAAAACTATAATCTTTAGACTATTTTTATCCTCGAGGCAAACCTACCAAAGTAAGTCATATTCCTTTTTTATCGTTAACCTGATTTAACACTATAATTGAGGCCAATACTTGCAGTCAGAATTATTCCTTAAACTGCTATTACTCTTGTAAAGTTCACCTAAACCCTGGTACCCATCTTTCTGACTTCTTTATCATCATCTTCTACTAGTCACAACTCGAAACTAACTGATTCCTCAGATTTCCAATTTAGATGGCCCAGTATGGTATACTTATGTATCCTTTTTCTTCTGGCAATTCTGGCAGTCTGGTTGGTTATATGCTCCTCTACACATCTTTGTCATTCGGTTTATCTGACAGTTCCTATGAAGGTGTTTCATGAGCTTCCATCAGTCCAATAGCACTATCGAAAGTTTGTGCTATCTCTTTACTTGGGATTTCCAAGTGAGTTTCTGTCTCTTCAGTTTCTTAGTCTTCTATACTCAATGGTCTTATTATGGGTTTGCCAGAAGCCTTATACGACACTGGTTTTATATTCCTCTATGTACATGTACCATGTAATATTACACTTCGCATAGATGCCTTGAGCTCCCAATGTCAAGTGGGACCTAACTTGGTATACCTAAAATTACAGATGCCCAAAACCCAACCAATCGACAAAAGACAGTTATCATAACACAAGTATAATTTCCAAAATTTATCATCTGTGGGAATTGAACCTTAGACCTGCCACTTGAAGGTTAACAATCTATTTACTTCACTAGGTCACCACACCTCAAATTAAAAAAGTTTTATACTGTACTGCAAACATGTTATTATTCATAATCGTATACTTTCTTCATATAATCACATGCCTTTGTCATTCTCTTTATTATTTTTTGTTACTCACTTTTAAACAGTTTATTATTATATTAACATCTTCTAACATTAATGCAATTTTTGATATTTATAAGGAAGTTGAAGAAATTAATATAGATATGAGTAAAAATAATATAAACAATACATTTAATTCTGTTTTAAACACAACTGATAGTGTTGGTCATATATGAAAAACAATAAAAGATAATAATACAGTATTAGAAGAATATTAGAATTAAAAAAAAAAACATATTTACTTCTATTAGATAAATATATAATATAAATTAAGAATCTTGAAAAAGCAGGTCTAAGTTATATTCAGCATGATCATTAAAGTAATTTGAATAGTGCTAGAAAAAAAAACCAATAGACTGAGTAATAGTACTGTCATCATTACAGGTCATATTAAAGTATTGCTAGAAAGCATTCAAATAAAAAACCATAATTATATAAAAAGAAACTAAAAAATATGATTGTAAAAACTCTATATATATAACACTTTCTGTCAATTCATTTATAGTGATATTAAAGATTGTTATAAATATATCAATTATTTTCCAGACTATTTATCAGATTTATGTATATTTCTTCTTTCTAAAAATATTAGAGAATTTATTCAAAAACATACTTTTAAGAGACTTGATACTTTTAATATATAAAAGTTTTTACAATTCAGAATAATTGAACTTAAAGATCAAATAAAGAAAAGTGTTGAAGGCCAATTATAAGATGTTCAAATGTTATAAGATACTTTTATAACATGATAATATATATCTAATTATCTATAATGTAATGAATAATTTTATTTAGATAAAAATAAATTTTATTCTTGAAATAAATAGCAAGAAAAATTAATTAATGAAGGTAAAAGTTGTCTATTTGAATGCTATAATAAGAAAAATAATTTTAAGTTTTTATTTGCATTTCAGACAAAATAATAAAGAGAATTAATAAAGCTTACTAGGGTTTTGTATCTAGATGGTAACTATAATATGAATTATTACAGATATCATCTTTTCACTATTGTTATACATTATTCAATAACAGAAAGTAGTTATCATATTGCATTTTTGATAAGTAAATTTAAATGATCATTGATATTAAAAAGATGATTAGAATTTTTAAAATATGTAAATAAAAGTTTGAATCTGAATATATTTATAGTAGATAATGCTAAAAAGGAGATAAAGTCAGTTGAAAAAAGTTTTTCAGATAGTTCTATCTTTTTATATCATTTTCATATATTGCATTCTTGGTACAAAAGGTTGAGTTATAAAAATATTGTAAATATTAATTTAAATAAGGCAATTATTTGGAAAGATATATAGCAACTTATGAAAACTGAAGAGTGGAATAATATGAGGGCATAGCAACAAGTTGCAAAAACAATTAATAGATAAAGAGAATTAAATAATAATGTTATAAAAAATTTTGCAAATTATTTTGAATGTTTTTGGCAATCCAAATATAAAATGTGGATAATATGTACTTGAGAAGTAGCTTATAATATAATTAATACTAATAATTTGATAGAATCTTTTTATCATAAACTGAAATATATATTTATAAGAAGACATTCAGAACATCAGCTTGATAGTGAAGTTTATTTGCTAGTAAATATTGTACTTTGAGATATAAACTTTTTAGTTCTTTTGAATAAGTTAAGAATTGGTTAAATGAATACTAAACAATAACAACAGTATATTAGAGAAATTGTTAAAACAAAAAATATAAATAAAAATGATATTTATAAAATTCTGTCAGATGTTTGGTTGGTTTGCTTAATAACAAATAATGACATTAAATACTTTGTTTATAAGAGAATTCTAATAAAAATGATATGAATATTATATTATATGTTTGTACTTGTTTAGACTTTAAAAAATGTTAATTAGCTTGCAAACATATATTTGCAATATTAACTCAATTTCCTATTTATAATTTATATAAATTTTTTAATTAAGTAAATATTGAAACATATAATAAAGATATTAAAATTATAAAATTACAGAAAGATTTTTCTACAATTATTGTTGAATAAAAAGAAAGAAATATACAAAACATTCATAGTTTATGAGAAGCTTTTTAACAAACTGTCTAAATAGAAAGAGTTAAAATTGTCAGAATTGAGACTGTATCACAAATCGATGAACCAAAAATTATTCAAGTTGTATCAAATATAAAGTTTAGGAAACAAAATAATTTTTAATTTTTTAATATTATGTATGCATATTGAAAAATTTTGAATTTATCTATTTTATAATCATTAATTTAGTATTGTTATATAATTGTATAATATATTTTTATTTGTGATTTTTTCAAGTATAGAGTTATTTTTAAATGTTTTAAAATTGATATAAGTATAAATAAAAAAGTTATTAAAAGATTTTATTAATGAAATATTATTTAAAATATTAATATCCTCAAGTACAGTATTTATAAGATAATAATATTATACTTTTATATAAGCATTTGAATAAGAATCTAAAAATTAACTCATATAGTAATAAATAACTAATATAAGAATTTAATTAATAACTCAATATATGAAATGAAACTTGGTAATTATTAAACAATAAAAAAAATATATTGATACTGTAGTTGGTTGATAATAATAAATTAAACTTATTAATATAAAATACTGTATTTTTTTTTTTTTTTTTTTTAAGCAGTCACACTAGTACTTTATTAAGATTTTGAAATTACATTTGCAATTATATAAATATCTTTAACACCTAAGTCTAGCATCACCCAGCCACCTTAAAGGTACCTAAATGCAACCTGCCGCATTACTTTAAGCAGAAGTAAGCTACTTGTCTAACTACTTAAAGTCTATAATAGAAGGGTCTTCTTTCTTCTACGACAAGTCCCAAAATTGTCATCTGTGTTTCTGTTCTAATTTGTTCTTTTTTTTCTCTTGTTCTTTCTTTCTTTTCCTTTATCTTTTGCTGATTTGCCTTTTTCCCTTTGCATGCTCTTGTCTTCTTTTTTTCCTTTCCTCTTTTTAATCTATCTGTTATTCCTACTTTCCTCTCCTATTCAATAATCTTCTCATATTGGACTCTTCATACTTGTTCATAGAATGTATTCCAGGCCATATTTGCTATTATACT